CCCCCATTTTACTCTGCACTTGGATTAGGACTACTGTTTAGTTATTGTTTTTTCTTTGTGCTGTTTCTGGTCTGATTTTAGGTAAATCGTCTTTGAGCATTGGGAAAAGCGCTATAAAAATCCAATATATTATTATTATTATAATGTTGTCATTTCAGAAAAAGGCAGACGGACTGGCGATGAGGGAAGCAGAGTTGTCTGTGTATGGCCTTCAGGAAGGAAACACTTACCCCTGTGTAATGAAGGACAAAGAGACCAGTAATGAGACTGACTTCCTCATCTGTGAGATTGAAAGGACACCCTTTACTAAATTTCAGCAGTTAATGGTAAATCTTGTAACACCAAGCCACAATAGAGAAATAAAATGTAAATGTTATTGAAAAAAGTGTGCAATATTGTAACAAATATTTGGGTGTACTAAAAAATAACTGTTTTTCAACCGAGTAAACATATAATACTGCTCTCTAGAATTCCTTTCAAATATATATTTTTTCTGCAGATAAAATATGGGGACAGGACAGTAACCCTGAACACCAGATATTCAATCCATCTGTACCTGATGCTGCTTGTCCTTCTGCTGATACCCTGCATTTGTGTTGGTAAGTATAGGGTTTTATGATTTACCCACTTCCAGCTTCAGGTTGAACTGAACTGGAAAATAAACTTTTTTAATTTGATGCCTCCGCACCAGAGGCATTTTGTCTGTCTCATTTTTGCGAACATGATATCTCAGGATCACCCGAAAGAGAATATCTTCAAATTGTACACAAACGTCTCTGTCTTTCAGTGGTGGTGATCATCTACCGAAATCAACAGAAGAAGCTTACTGCTAAAATGAACAGGTGTATGGAGGACCTGGAGCTGGACATCAGGAATGACATTAGACAAGGTCAGTAGCAAACATCATGGCATCTGTTGTTTAACGTAGATCAGGAAAAACCAGGTGCTTCAGATACTCACATTTTAAAAACGGTGTGAGGAGTGTTGTTTGCAAAATTGTGAAATATAAAGATATCTCTTGTTGTGCCGCATCGATATTGATATTGTAACTTAGCTCCATCCAGTCGAACAATATGATAGATAAACTGGTGGAGGACTTTTCTAACTTTTCATTTCGCATTAGGTCAAGATTGGTGATTTGTATTGAATTATTTGCTTTATGAACAAATACCTATATAATACTAATCAATACCACATCTGGCTTAGCTGTGTTTTGTTTTTGTTCGCATGCCATCACTAAGACTAAGATGGTGAACGTGGTTTTGGATGTTGAAACTGTATCTGATCGTACCTGATAAGCAGTGGCGAACCGTGACTTTTATACCTAGCCCCTATTATTTAGAATATCTTAGGCCCTCAGAGAGCTCGCCACTGCTGATAAGTGACTCAACCTTATCAGACTCTGGCTCTTGTGTTTAACACATTCAATAGACACATGCACATGCCGTTCCCTTTTCTTTAGGTATTGTTGGTTCAGAGAGGGCCTTTATCAGTTGAAAGGGGGAGAAAGAGAGGAGGACATTGCCTGGTTGTTCGGCCGGCTCTGGATTTGAAGCGGTTTACTCGGCAGCGGTTGACGCATATGGGCCGCCAGCTCTCCGGTGGCCCATGCAGTTCCTCTTTATGATGTGAAATGCCCTTGTTCCTTTTTTCTAATGTAAAACCAGAAGGCCTCATTTCTGTTGGTATTGAAGTGTGAGATCAGTTGGTGAGCAGCTGCTGTTTTCTTTTCCTCTTTTTCTTTTTGACCTGTCTAATGCTTTAATCTGGCATCAAAGAGAAATATAAATAATCTCTAACACACACATGTCTGATTCTCTGAACCGTCCTCCTCAGGTTTTGTGGATCTGCAGACAGAGAAGGCTGACCTGATGGAAAATGTCGGAGCGATTCCTTTCTTGGACTACAAGCACTTTGCCTCCAGAATCTTCTTTCCTGAGGTACATTGTAAAATGTGAAACATTAAACATAATACGATCTCTGGCAGATTTCCAATGCTATGTTTTGTTGTTCAGGATGACTCTCTGATGAGGCTGTGTATCAAAGACATTGGGCAGGTAAGGTTTACCACCAGCTGTTGATGATGTCAGCAACATGTGTAGCTCTGTCAGTGATGGGTTGTTGTGTCTGACCTGAATCAGGATGTTGTAAAGGTCCAACTTGATGATTGTTGCCAAGGCTTGTCCAGGCTGCTCCATGATCAGCTCTTCCTCACATCCATGGTGCACGCTCTGGAGGAGCAGAAGAGCTTCACCATCAAAGACAAGTCAGTGTTAAACTGCGCCTGTGATATTCAGTATCAGCCCATCAGATTACTAACTGTTTTAGGTCTAAACATGTCTTTAGTTCATTAGTTCCCTTTTCATGCTGAATGACTTCTTACCCAGAACACTTTCATGAGCATCCTGCCTGTCACAGTCTCTTCACTGTTATCCTTCTGATGATTCATGTTTTTTTTGTCAGTTGGTCAGTCATGACAGCTGGGTCTATAAAATACAAATAAACTCATGGTGATGCTTTTTATTTGCTTGCTTGTTCACCCAACAGTCCAGAACCCTTAGATCCAGCCAATCATAGGAGCTGAGAGCAGATAGTGCTTGTACCAAAAAAGTACATTGGTTTTGAAAATAGTTGCCGGTTGCTGTCTGACTAATCGATACGTTGATGAATTGTTGAGAATGCTAGACCTTTTTTTCTCTTCAATATTGTCCTTCTTAATCTTCAACCAGTTTGTCAATGCTATTATCCTGTTGCATAATCATTTAATTTTCTCTTTGCTTCTTATCCTCTGCATTCATATCCTGTATGCTGTCCCGTTCTACGTTGGTCTCCTCACCTCTATATATTATTTTTCAGATGTGCTTTGGCGTCATTGCTAACCGTAGCGCTCCACCATAACTTGTCGTACCTGACGGAGGTGATGGAGGCTCTGCTGAAGGTGCTGACGCAGCAGAACAGCAACGCTCAGCCCAAACTCCTGCTGCGGCGCACCGAGTCCACCGTGGAGAAGTTGCTGACCAACTGGATGTCCATCTGCCTTTATGGCTTCCTCCGGGTGAGCTGCTGTCACCTTTTCTGTTCCATAAAACTCTGGCTGGATACACTTTTCATGCCGAATAAAAGTTGTCCTTGTTCTTTAAATGTGATGCAGCAAAGCATGTCTGTCCTGTGATGGACCTTTGATTATTCAGATATTGGTTTCCAGGCCTTTAATATATATGTATAAAGTTGAGTTTTATATTGATCTGGGTCTACAGTTACATCTAGGATTAACTTGCCATGCATCAACATACCTTTCTGGTGCATAGGTGAGAGTGGGGTTAGATGAGAATTTTTTAACTTATGTTGTCCTCTTGGCAAAGAAAAACAAGATTGAAGACAAAAAATAACCTATACTTCAGGATGTCTTCTGTCAATCAAATGAAAATAATGCATCTGTCACAGAGGGCCATGAAAATATGACTTCTAAGTGGTCTTGTGGCTTAACTTGCCCCGTCTAAGGGGTAAGTGGATCCGAGTCAAGGGGTAAATGGACCAATTTGCTTTTTCAAGTTTAAACCTGAGTTTTGTGGTACAGGAATACTGCTTATGTCTGCTAATTAAGTTGTATATCTGGTGTATGTAATATGTCTGTCTTTGGCCACTGCTCTGATTGATTTTCCAGCCTCTCCATCAGTGGCTGCTCTGAAATACCACTTTATACTACAGAGACTTAACTTATCTTCAGTGCCTCTGGGGGGGTAAGGTTGAACCACTGTCTCAGTTTACTCCCCAGCATGTGGCTCACTTTGCCCCAAAGCCACTTTTTGGAAAAAACTGTCTAGCTTAGTCATTCATGCTAATCTTGAGCTAACATAACCAAGGTAACGGACATCAGCTCTGCACAGCTTTCCTGGAATCAGAGTCCTTCATGTTACCTGTATATAGTTCACAGTTTAACTCAGCTCTGTTATATGGTTTAAGATATGAACTATACATCTTGATTTTTAGACCTCCAGTCTACCCGCCCCATTTATAACTGGGGAGTTGAAACCAGAAAGAGATAGTGAGGCCCACTCACTTCCTGTTTCTGACTGTGCAGGAGAGCGTTGGCCAGCACTTGTACCTGATGGCGAGCGCCGTCACACAGCAGACCGCTAAAGGCCCCGTGGACTGTGTGACCGAGAAGGCTCTGTACACACTGAGCGAGGACTGGCTGCTGTGGCAGGCTCAGGACTTCAGCTGCCTGGTACACACACACACACACACACACACACACACACACACACACACACACACACACACACACACACACACACACACACACACACACACACACACAAAGTAGAACTACCAAATGAGGTGTGTCACAGGTTGAGTCAGTTGGGCTGTTACATGTGGAAGGGATCATTAACCAGGGTGTCCGTGGGGTCTTAAAAAGTATTAAAAGTCAATCGAAGAAAATTAAGGCTATTAAAAAGTTAAAGCTACAAAATGTAATACCTTGGAAAATGCCGTTTAATACTTTTAAGTGTTAAACGGCATTTTCCAAGGTATTACATTTTGTAGCTTGTTTTCAATAAGTATATAAATTGTCCAAAGAGATTGTATTCTACAGTCTGCCTGAATGTAATCATTGCGTAGGTGTGTAGTGTGATTCTATGTAGTTTATTTATGGCATCCCGTTGGGTTTGACGTCGTCTGAACAAGACATCGCACGCTCACTGCTTGATAGCGCGCGAAGCTCCGTTTACGCCGGTTGCTAAACAACATCGTTATGGGGAAATGCAAGTCTGCGTCCAAATGGTTGGAAGTTAAGGAGGAAGGACAATCAATACTGTAGTAAATGTGAGGTAAAGTGTGTCGCCAATGTAACCGGTTAAAACTTGAAGTGGCGATGAGGTCTTAAAATGTATGGAAAGGGTCTTAAAAAAGGTCTTAAAAGGTATTACATGTGACTTCAGGATTCCTGCATATACCATGTTAACACTTCCCAAATCTTATTTATTTTTTAGTCTTTAATGTGGTGCGTAGTCTACAAACTGCACCTAATGCCATGTCTAATGATGAAGTACAAACACATGATTTTACATTTCAGAATTGTGGGTAACGTCAATTACGTGTAACGGGGGTTGTTCCACTGACAGTGTTGAGTCAGTGCGCTGCGGCTGGGGCTAAACCACTTCCCCCTCCATATGATTTCATGCCCTTTGGAACATGCAGTGTACAGCTTTAAATGTTTGACTTTGCTTTATTTATTGCTTTTATTACAAAATATGTTGCACAACAGAGTCGTTTTGAAATAGTTTTAAAAAAACACTAGCAAAACATAAATACACATCTCAGATGATTTTATTGCAAACAATCTAAATGTGTGGAAATGAATTCAGGTTCTTCAGACATGTCAAGCAGATTTCAAACAGCTCTGGGCTTCTGTTCATCTCTCTATGTGCTGCTGTAAGACATAAGGCTGGAAATGAGGGTGAAAGGTATGTTATGAATGGTGACAGGACACTAACTAGTAGAAAGGCATGGGTTGGTCAACAGCCTATTGGTATATTAACCATAAGATGTCTTTTACTGAACAAATGTCACATGACACACCAATATAGGATAGCCAGTTTGTTATTCAAAAAGTGACAGTTTTAGTAGTAGTAGACGAACAATCTTAAAAGGCTTTAGAAAATAGGAAAAACAATAGTTAATAAGAGGACATTCCATATGTCTTTTCTTCACTTTAATGCACTATTTCTGAAGGGGAGTAAACAAAAATACATGCCATTTCAGGCTTTGACAGAAGGGGTTAAAGGAAGCAGCTCACAGTCAGACTCATGAAAAAACATCTGACTCAAAGAAGTGAAACGTCTCAGCATTTCTAAGATTAAACTTAAATGACCTCTCAAACTTTCTGAACAACCTTCCTCTGAGCTCCTCACAGCCGGAGAGAAGCTCCTGACACCGGCAGGCGGCGGTCATTTAGTCTCAGTTATTTGATGATTTAGGTAAAAGAATAGAATTTAAGTGATGAAATACAACCACAAGAAAAATAATCACCTTACACTGAGACAAGAAGACAACAGGATTTAAGTTTTTGACATGTTAAAATGAAACAATGTGCAGGTCAGTGCATCGAGTTCAATGCATGTCAGGCACACACTGAACCAACTGAAACGTTGAACTAAAGGTTAGTTGAAAGCAATAATATTAAGCTGAACAAATGTTTTTTATTTGAACTAAATAGTATTTCTTTCAACTAACCTAACATAATTATGTGTAATCTGTTGATATAATACGTGTAATACAAATCAACGTTTGAGTTGTTTCAGTGCAGCCTAGCTGTGCTAACAAACATGTAAGGGATGGACACATAATGTAGTTATAAAGCATGTAATATTATTGAAACTGAGAGAGCAGAAATGTACGATCGAGTAGCTTAGCATGACTTGGCATGTTCAGAAACCTGAGAACTCTACTTCAGCAAAACCTGTGCATGCTTTTCCCCATATTGTAACTGTTACTCCAGACTGTATTGTCTTTAAGAGACTTCAGTCTAAAGCTAGAGTCAGGATACTGCTATCAGTAGCACCGTGTCATGTGAGCTTTCCGCTAACAGAAGCTAACTAATGCTACTAAGTTAGGCAGAAATGAATCAATTAATCAATTTTATCAATTTTTAAATCATCAAAAATATTGAAAAATGACACCAAATCAGTGTATTAAATAGTATCAACCTATAAATAAATATATAAAACAATTAATGAGACTTAAAAAACGCCATAATTAATAATAATATTCTAATCCCTTAAACACTCAAAACGTGAACATTTGAATGGGCGCTTAACAAATACACAATATGTTTCACAAATGTCTCCCACTAAAGATCCCCTGTTTCCTCCCCTCCAAAATAAGACAGAACTGGGTATCTGTGAGTCTCAAATGTCTCCCACTAAAGATCCCCTGTTTCCTCCCCTCCAAAATAAGACAGAACTGGGTATCTTATCTGTGAGTCTCAAATGTCTCCCACTAAAGATCCCCTGTTTCCTCCCCTCTAAAATAAGACAGAACTGGGTATCTGTGAGTCTCAAATGTCTCCCACTAAAGATCCCCTGTTTCCTCCCCTCTAAAATAAGACAGAACTGGGTATCTGTGAGTCTCTAAGAGTTAATGTTGTTTAGATTTTCGCACATTCAATGTACATTTGCTGGAGTCAACATACCAACACTGATGGGTTATCTTCTAATGTAACACTACACTGTTCCATCCTCAGCACTTTGTGTGTGTGTGTGTGTGTGTGTTGTGTGTGTGTGTGTGTGTGTGNCAACTCTTCCTCTCTAGAAAAACTATTTCTGCAACCACCCACTCACCAACTGCCTCACTGACATCAAAACATGGATGCAAAACAACTTTTTAGTTTCAGAAAGTTGTTTTGCATCCATGTTTTGATGTCAGTGAGGCAGTTGGTGAGTGGGTGGTTGCAGAAATAGTTTTTCTAGAGAGGAAGAGTTGGGTGTTGTCGGCATAACAGTGGAACCGGAGTTGGTGTTGATGGAGGATCTATCTGGGAGAATGTAAATGATGAAAAGTAGGGGACCAGTTACAGAGCCCTGGGGGACGCCGTGAGTGACTGACTCACCGGTGGGGAATTTTCAGTTGTTGAGTAGAGCAGTTTCAGTAATGTAGCGAGTGCGGAAACATTAGACAAACAATGACCTTTGTGTAAACATGTCCTTTGTTTGTGCATGTACAAAAATATGCGTTACCTGTATGGTGATGCGCAAATCTTCTCCTGTCACTGTGGATGTGAAGCTGATGAACTCGGGCTCTGGATGGTAGCTCATTGTTTTGTGGCAGGGCAAGCTCTTATTGGCTACTTTCAGAAACACTTTGACAGCAGAAACCCCCTTTCCAGCTGCAGGGGACTCATATGTGAGATACTGCACACAATTAAAAACATCTGTATATGGCATTACATGACATGGTGATGATGTTGACATGGTAAATAAAGAAATAGCAATGGGAAATACAACATTATACATGAAACAATGTTACACTGGTTAATGTAAAACAACAACAACATAACAAGACATACTGTAGCGTAACAAAAATAACACATAGCATGACGTATAATGAGACAGAGCAAAGCAGCATGACATGATGTGATATGACATAAAGTAAGAGAACAACACACTGGAATAGTGTGGTGTAAAGAGACCCACCTGATAGTTGCTGTTTCTGGGTGTGACTTCCTGCAAGCAGTGGCTGTGCATGACCCCTTCCAAGCAGTGGCTGAGCATGACCCCTTCCACAAGCTCCAGGTGGGAACCCATGAGAGTGATGTTCCTCTTCCCACTACGTGACACAGAGCAGCAGCCAACCAGAGAAGAGGACATACACATTCAATACCAGATAAAGTGTTTTCTTACCATAGAGGGTGATATGAAGCTAACCACACACCTGTGACTACTTTATACAGTATAAAGGTAAGAAACAACAGCATAAAGAGAATAATAATTGTTGCCATCAAAGAAGAATGGTTGGGAGGTCATGTAAAACATTATTAGGCCTTACAGCTGCAACATGCCAAAATACATACTGTATAGCATCCAGGAACTTGTGTCACAATGATCAGAGCAAATAAAGTAGCGCATTGAAAAGCTGTGCACACTCACTGGTGGATATAAGTGACAACCAATATTCTTAAAGAGGGATAAACTCTCTCTGGAGGGAACACAGGGATTTTAGCCTTTGCTGACCATTTACATGCACAAAAACCTAAAGAACAAACTACAGGAGATGGAACACCACACACCACTGTGTGTGATGTTTATATGAGCAGAGTGTGTTGTGAAGTGATTTGACTGCTCACTAAGAAAAGCTCTTTACCAATGCAGTCGCCTTAGCTTATTGCCTCTTGATTTGAACATATCATTTTTGCACCCATGCAACAGTGTGGAAAAACGTGTTATAACAAAAGCAGAAGTCGAACTTTCAGTTAGTGCAACTGCAGAGGGAAGTGGTCTTTTGGTGAAAGACGTTGTTTCTGGGAAGTGGCTGTCCTTCCCCACGACATGAGCCTCGACCCGTAAATGTCCCCCCCTCACTGACATTGGTTCTTAGAATAAGTCTCAGCCATGTCGTGTTACTAACAACTCACTGTCAGAACATCGCCTATTTATGTTCTCACTGTATTTTACATGTTTTCAAGTATCAAATCAGTAATCAGTAATTATATCTTTTTAATTACCATGATGTAACCATCATGTTTCCTATAGCACTTTTCTTATCACCCATGTTGCCTCATCAATCCTCTCCATTGAATGGATCCGCAGAGGCTGAATACAGTGATGGTCTTGTTTGTTCATAGTTAATCTCAATAATGATTGATTAGATTGTGATTTCTGATGGTCTTTCACTTTCAATACCTTTTCCAAATTAGCTTATAAATTAATTAAGTATGTGTGTGTGTACTATGTGTATTGTTTAACACGGACTAGTATATGAAAGTTGAACAAGAATAATGCCAAGTGGAGGTGTCTCCATTAGAGATGCAACCAGAAAAGCTTAATTTAGTAACAGAAGCTTTTCAGACATTGACATTAGGGCTGCACGATATTGGAAAAAACTGATATTGCGATATTTTTTCCCCTGCGATATATTGAGATATGAAAAAAATATTTTTGTCCACAAACCATCCTTTCTTGAACTTTAATGCTATACAATTGGTATTTTTCTAACTATATTTAACCGGATGAAGGATTTTAGTCACGGACGTCTGGACCTTAAGTTATCAGAGCAACAAGCTGAGCTAGCTCGGTTAGCAGCGCCGAACTGCCCTGGAGAAACACATGAAAAAAATGTATTCAGTGTTTTACCTTTAATCTCCGTTTGCTTTGGAGATTTGATTGTGATTGGTGGTTTGCTGTGCATGCAGAGCCTGCATGTCATTCACTCAAGTACCCCTGATATGAGAGTTTATCGCGATATCGTCATGACAAGATATATCGTGCAGCCCTAGTTGACATCAGAACATAACGTTTCTGAAACATTTCTGTTAGTAGGAACCTTTTCTGCAGCTCAGTGGCTGATGGAAATACTAAATGGATTCAAGCTAATTTTCATCCATGATGTTCTTGTTGGGATCAAAACATGCAAACCAATCCAGGCTTACCTGATCCAGGTGCTGCTTGGTGTAATATCGGTGCATGATGGGGATGACTGGTAGGTGATTTTAGTGTTGCCATGGCAACTACCGTCTGGGAGGACAGCACATACTTTGACCACGCCTTTACTATTTGCCCCGGGAATGTGGAAGGTGAGTCTCACACCAGTGTTGTTCCACACAGGAGATCTGATCAGAGAACAGAGAGAGCAGTTGCAGCTGAGATCAATATTTACCTTATGTAAGGGAACTAAATAAATCACAACAACCATTCAATACAAGAAATATGCAAATAACCAGAGCATAATTATGTTATGGCATATTTTCATCGCTCTCCTCAACCTTTTTATACCTCTTCTCCACCTAAAACTCCAAACTCACTTTAACTTTCTTTGTGTTTGTAACACAACCCTTACCCAGAAGCTCAGGCATTGCTAATTCCAATTAAAACTGCTTTTGTACTCATGGTGAAGACTTCGTTATAAAAGAATGATAAAATGGAGAATGCCTTTAACATAGCAAACAGCAAAACATTTGTGTTTCAAAACTTAAAATCTGAGCATACAACAAAGTAAAACAATTATAATATTTTTGAAAACTGTTTAGTTCATGCCAAAATGTACTTCTGTTCCAGTGCTGATGATTGCAATGTGTGAGAATGGGACAGAGAATGGGTTTTCTGTAACACCAAATGAATCCAGATTTGCTAGCACGTGTAAGCCTAATTTTTCTTAAAACCTTAAAGAATACGTTTGTGGAGCAAAACAATATTTTACATCAACATAAATCCTGTTCTTAGCTGTAGGAGGGATCAGTGCACATTATAGCATGGAGTGGAAAGTACTTGATAATTATCCAATGAATTGTCAATGCTGTCAGATTGTCGAGCATATCAAGGTGTAATATACCACTCATATTACCACTGGTGAACTGACTCACTCTTGTTGAGTGCACTGAATCCTCACTCTGATCACGTCCCTGAGGTTAGAACCCGACAACACGGCGTGGTTCCTGCCGTGGAAAGACACATTGCTGGGTGTGATGGAGGAGATCTCTGGTGTCTGACAGTGAAACACACACAAAGATAAATCAGGTTTATTACATTCCTTTATGCTGATTCTTTACTGAATGTGAATTAGGGTATTATGAGAGTAATAATGTGTATGATATAACTGAGGGTCAAACTCACTGAAAAGTTCATCATTGACTCCATTTGTTGGCAAACACTGTCCTGCAAGAGCAAGTGAGGGGAGAATTAGGCAGGGTGACACTCACTTTAAAGATACTGTCAACAGTGAATTTAGCACCTGTTACAGCTAATGTTAGCTGGGCTAAATAACTAAGTAGCAGCTTGCTTCCAGTAACTATAATGTCTTATTTGCATTTTTGTTAGAGCTTCTCATTCAAATTAAACCAAATCTGACATTTTGTTTTGATGATCAGTTAAATCAGGCTGGGTTAGACCTAAAATAGGGTTATTTCCTAACTAGTTAATCTGTTTTGAAAATTTTGAAAACAGTGGTTTAAAAACACTTGGAGGAGACTATATTAGAAAAAAACATGCATTATTACATTCCCCACTCCTTGGTTTGCCCAGGTACAGCCGTTTCTGCTCCAGCCACATCCAGCCCTGACACACTCTCCACACCTGAGAGAAAACCAATGCTGTTAGCTGAATATGAATCACCAGGACTTGACACAACACATAGACCCTAAGATAGCAATGCTGTATGCGTCACTGAGACACGCCTCTGCCTCTCTCCTTCAAATGTTCTTTGCTTGTTCAATTTTGGTATCTTCTATGAATCAATAATCTTTCTACATATATTTTGACATGTTGGCAGTGGACTTACAGGACATAAGCTGGCCGTCCCCTGATGTCAGGGCAGTCGGAGAGCTTCAGTTTTTCCATTAATATTGTTGTCCCAAGTATTAGACTAACAGTGACATGGCGGCCTGTTGAGGGAACATTATACAATAATTGTTAGAGTCTTGGTTGTAGTTGTCAGCAGCAACATGCACATTTTTATGCAATGATTTGATATTTGTTGTGAGACGACAGCTTTGTTAACTTTTTATCTTTTAGGAATTTTTTACAATTAATAATAATAATAATAACTTAAATGTATATAGCGCCTTTCAGGGGACCCAATTGTCATTAATCATGGTATTTAATTCACTGCATTAACATATTAATCAGAAGTCACTGACCTTCAGCAGGAAGTGAGCTATTTGAAAGAATGCAGGTGCATTGTGGGAACTTTGGAAAGGGGCTCTCCCTGCTACAAAGCTCACTGAAGTCACTTGAACTTGTAGAGAAATTACAGGAATATTTATCCAGCGCCTTCTGTCCCACAGTCAGGTGTGTGTGGATGTTTAGTGTGACCTGAGAGAGGAATGATGTGAGTGTAAAACCAATAACTGAAAGTCATACATGATTATTATTGTCATTATATTTAAATATTAATATAATCTCTACCTGGCCAGTGCTGTCCTTCATAACTTTGTAGGAAACAATTTTCTGTTGAGAATCATCAGGGATGGATAACCAGTCTGAATTTGGGCAGTCATCTTCAAATGTGCAACTATGCAAGAGAAAATGACATTTTAATAGAGAGTATGATACTTATGTTTGTTTGAAAGACTGGCGTGCAGCTGTTGTGTTCCTGACCTTATGGTAGACCCGCACCAGACACAGTGAGGATCCTGTGCAGACCAGCAGGCCCGCACATCTGTATATGTGCCGCACTTTGACACAGCTACACGCTTCATCTAGGACAAATCACAAACATAGCAATCTAACAACACTTTTTAAACACAAACAAATCTGAAAAGTATTTATAATCTCCAGTTCTCGCCTTACACATTGTACTGTACATGTAAAAGCACCTACCTGGTTTTCGAATGACATGTACACATGTTTAAGATCCACTGGATCCAGATGCATTTTGGGAAACACTCTGCGGTCGTAATCGTCCCTGTAGAGCACCCTGGGACAGGAGCTCTGAAAGTTCTGGTCCACAGAAAGCTGAGAACAGGAACGCAGCTTTGTCAGGTTTTTGACAGTGCCCTGCTGTTAATTATCAAAGTTATGGTTTACTGATTGGATTCAAAGTTTTTTTTTGCTTGCTGGAGTAAAGGAAATACTCTCAATGTAAATATATCATTTAAAACCATGGCATTCATGTTCAAAGAGCAACCAGATGTAAGCTTGTATGGCAACGCCAGGGCAGAACAGGTAACCTGGACCAGTATAAGGACAAAAGGAATTTCTGATAGCACTATCTCAGTCAGAGGAGAATAACAGTGTTAGTGACAACCTACATGGTATTTTGATTTAATTCATAACATGTGACAAGTATGTTGGCTGCAGATCTTTTTCAACACATATTATAATTATGTTGTTTATTTTGTGAAGCATTGCAAGTGTTTGTATGAATAGTAGGGTTAGCACAGGTGTAATCAATGACATTAATTATGACCCTGTTCCATTGGCATACTGTCATAGACACACAGTCCTGCCTGAACTCTTGGATCCTCCAGTCAGAACTTCTATGGATGGACAGTCGGACTCTGCTAAAATAAAACCACCAGAAGGTAACTGTATCTTGAGGTGACTGAGGTCATGTCTTCAGCTGTTTTTTTATGTAGCGACAACTTTTGTCCACTGCTCTATTTCAAACTTGAACTGTATCACATACTTACACATTGGGAGCTGTATACAACTTTTTAATACAATGGCTGTTTCTTCCACGGAATCATACTTCCTCAGCTTCTTCTCTCACAATGAAGGCAGCATTTATACACAGCTCTACAGCTGTCACACCACAATTTCTTCAGAAAACTGTGTGGTGTTTCAGGAGAGAGAAAGATGCATTTCCTGGTGAGTCTGTGGTTTAGGCCTCTCTCACATGTCCAGCCACTTGCTAATAACCAAAACCATTTAGGTTGTTGAAGAAAACCTTAATCCATTATCCTTTTTGTTCTATTTGTGATGATGTGTTGTCCGCTGACACCACTAATATCTCACACCAATATAGAATATTTTTCAATTTGGACGTTTGTCCTTATCTTCACATCATGTCACTTCCACTGTGTTGCTCTACTTTCCCATTTACCAATGCACAGGTTATGATTCTGCTATATTTTGGCTATGGAAATAACCTGACCACTCATCTATCAGCCCAGCCACACCTAATTTTCTCAATCTGTCTCAGTGTATACAGACAGCAGCCTTTAAGACAGACTCAGAGAGAATTTGGATTCAGCCCCCCTGTCACTAGGAGAACATATCTAGTTTAGGACCCAGGACAGTACGGATGTTCCTCTCAGATGATCTGGTGGTGGGAGAACAAATCCAGTTCCTAACATCACAAACTGTTTGCAAATTGTATTATTGGGTCTGCTCCATTAATCAACTTTAATTCATGTTCGATCACATCATCACATGTTTGACTACAATAGCCGATAGAGAGATTCATGGCAGATGCTGTTGTTGCCATGCGGTGGTTAGCTGGCATGCTACTGTACTGACAAATATCTAAACTCACAGTTATCACTGAAGAATAGACCACCCACTTTGGCTGTCTCCACAACCATTTGTCTCATTCAGACCTGTTGAGCCTCCTGCTTTTCATTCACACCCCAAAGCATGACTACATCACTATGCTGGTCTCCATTTAGTTTACAATTGGTTTAGAGGTGAAGCTTGCTCTCTCTGGTATGATAACACCCTGCATTGTGTGATGCAACACTTTTATCAACTCTTGGTTGCGTCTTTCAGGTAAGAGATAAGGATATCTGTTATGTTTCTCTTTATGTGTGGTGCATTCACATTTTAAAATCGCTTCAAGATCTTAACACTTTTGTGGCCTGGGTCGGATTTGTAAACCTATTCAGCCTGTTCTGACTGGCCGTCGCTTGAGAATTATTAAGTGACAAATACTGCAGTAAAATGGCCTTTAACTCTTTCTTCTGCAATTCGGCTGTCCCTCTGTTGAACTGATACAGGATATGGATATAAGATATTTAGAGGTAAAGGGCAGGAAGTGGTTTGTTGTGGGGTCAATAATTGGCTTTCTTCTCATTAGTTTGGTTAGTGGTTAATCCTGCTCCACTCAACCCTGTAAACAGCCATAGTGACATGTCAGTGAGCCTGCTGTCCCACTACAGGATGTGTTGCATCACATTTGATTTCATGATGAATAGGACAGGCGTTAAACAGTATTACACTGAGCGAGATGATGATTATGGCAAAATGCATAGTTTGTCTCATACAATGTCGGCTTCCATTTAGGTGTACACCACACATAAAATCACACAAAAGGAAAGACTGGTCATTTTTTCAACAAACTATCAGAGGTCTTTACCTCATGTGTTACATTTGTCATTGAGTCAATAAAAAAGCAATTATTCTCTCTCAGCTGCACGCTGGGAGAAACACCAAGGGGTTTTATGGAAACTTGTAAGAGTAAACTCAGCATGAAAGAGCCTATTGTGTCCAGGAGCGGGTTACAGCGAAGACTTATGTTTGAGTCTTTAATCTTGCGAGGGTGCACTTACGGTATAAAGGGTTTCTGTGGCATATCAAGTTTAGTCTTGACTAAAACAAGAAATTGGAAATAATTTTTTATACGTCACTAAGAAGACTGAAATGTTAATTTACCAATGTCTTTTGCACTCAATCCCATCAAATAAATCACATTATGGTTCCAAAGTTCAAAAAATTCAAAGTTGTAATGGAAGCTTTTAAGAGCATATTACTTCTTTTGGAGCATCACCCTTCTAACTGTCATTAAAAAAACACTGTTGTTCAGGAAATATACATATATATATATATAAAGATTTTTTGGTGACTTTATTAAGTTATTCCATAGACACTGGTTAGTTTAAGAGAGCATTACATTCATACTATCATCTGTGTTGTTGGAGTATTCTTGGCATTGATGGTTATCATTAGTTATACATACCTTCATGAGCTGACCATCTCCCGTGCCAATGAAGAAAACCATCCAGGCCTTGTGTCTCACTGCCAGCACAGAGGTCATGGACTTCTGCCTGAACAGCACCGCCTTCGGCTTCAATGTCTCTGCCTGAGAGACACAGACGCTCATCATCAAACCTGAATCCAACAGGTGTTTACTGTTTCATGAAGACGAAAGCTTTAAATATGGACAATACTTGAAAAAGCTTATCATTACTTGAATCTCAGTTAAATGCATTGCTAGGTCACTAGGTGTAGTTACGGGAAATCACATGTATTTATTTTTTATTTTAATAATTCATAATATCGCACTGTCAAGCTGCAGTGCTGTATATGATATATCATTTATTTGGGTACATATCCCATTCAACATTACTTTTATTTAAATGTCTACCAGGCCCAAACTGGTTTGGATTATAATTGGACAGAATTTAAGAAAATGTAATGTTGCAACAAGTAATGCACAAACAGAATGTGTTTACATTTAGATTTCCAATCAAATGCCACTATAGTTGCCACTGTTGTTCACCGCTATATGCATCTAATTAAGTATATAAAATTATAAATAGGATGCTAACTAATGTGCTGATAATGAATTAGTACCTTTGTAGCTGATATAGGTGCAGTGACTGCAGTAATTCTTTTATACAACATTTCTATAGGAGTCAACTCCACAAGAGCCTCGAAAATGTACAACGCACATTTCTTAAAACATTAAACCATAAAATGATCAGATCAGGACGCAATGTTTTTACTTTCCTCATATATGCTGTCCATATAATACATTTTCAAATGAATTTTAAATAATCATATTTTTTCATTAGGTTACATTGTGGTAATGCTTGAGATTAAGTATAAACTTTAATTATGTGCTTGGTATTACGTCTGACATTGTTATTTAATTAATTAATTAATTTGCTAATTGATTTGCCCTTTTCTTTAATTGAATATAAATACATTGATTATTGATATTATTTTTTTTATTATTATTATTATAATTAGTCGTCATATTCTAATGTTTTTTCCAGGGGAAACATATGTAACAGATGACTCTAAGGACCCACCGTCTTCTTTTTATTCACGGTGCACACACTGCAGAAGTCCGGATCTGCATCGGCCGTCATGTTGAGATCCGGGCTGATGTCAAACAGCAGCAGCTCGGTGTTGGTCTTTCCTCCGTCCACACTGAACACGCCGCTCCAGAGCACCGGCGGCCCCCCCGGGATCACAGAGGAAGAGAGGAGTATTCCGCCTCTCCCTCCATCCGCGGAGAGGCTGAGGTTCGCGCCCCGCAGAGACTCCAGAGTCTGCTTCTTGGTCGCTTTGCCCTCGAGCCAAATGAGACGGACCGTGTTTCTTGAGGGCAAGTTGGAGAACAGATAAATGATGGAATTGATCTGAAACCCATCTACAAACTCCACACTGCCCTCACGTTTGATCACATGGGTATTGTGCTCGCCAACAGTAGAAAAGATATATCCTCTCTGGATGTTATAGGTGTTATGAAGGTGCACGGCTTCTGATCCAGTGGGACAGCTGCTCCCTGTGGATTTCGTTTCGTCTTGCTGTAAGGCAGCCAGAATGTAAGCATTCTGTCCCTCCTCATTCACCAGGAAGCCGACAGACGCACTGTTGCGCAATGGAGACCCCACCTGGATGTGTTCCCTGTATAGAACATTTGAAATGTTCTTCAGGTCCAACACCTCGCAGTACCCGCACTCGAGAACACCACAGCTGACCAGAGTGTCATTCATAACAAACGGCAACAATATGTTCACGCTGAAAGTTGCATTCAATTCGTTTGTCACAGAACCCCGGTAAAACCGCGCATCGTTCTTCAGATGCCCACCTGTCAGGATACCTCTCAGGGTCAGTTTTTGAACCAAAGTCAGGTCGTGGTTTAGCTGGTACAGCTTCTCTTCCGCAGCGATGTAAACCGTATTGGTGGCCACGGCGAAGTGGCGGATGTTTTTTTCAGTGGTGAAGCCTCCGTCCTCCTCAAGGCACCGACTCGGTTCTCCCCAGAGAGAATATAACAGAATAGGCAGCAGGATCATCTTGTTGCACAGTGCAGCAACACTCTCACACACAGTGGCAGAGGCTGTGCGTAAAAGCGCAATGCCTCTGTGGAAAAGAGAAGTGCTGAAAGTGGGAGGGAGCTAGTTCAGCGAAACCGAAAATTAAGACGTTTTAACTATTTCTGAGATATGATTTTGCAACCTTACAGCTGCAGTTGTCCCGCCATTAGTTACCATGTTATGTTTTAAAATAAAGTAAACTCTCCAGCGTGGGTCTACACACTACCCCTCCGTTTGCGCGTTCGCGCGGAGGGTCCGCCACTAAGTGCTGTTCCAAACCAACGAGTGTGGAGGGGAATGTGTTATTAAGCCCTCAAACAGCGAGCCTGCATCGGGGTGCTTCTCAATGTCGAGGACGCTTCCTTTATAGGACATGTCTTCCGAGTCAGGTCCTTCAGAAGCGAGGCAAGAATCCTTCCTAGCCTCGGAAAACGAAGAATGGTGGAACAGGCTAACAGGTGTGCGTCATATGCGAGGCCCCGCCTTAAATGGAGCCCGATTTCTGCCAAAGATTTTGAAACCGTTGTTAGGGTGACCAGGTCCCAACAAACCAAATATGGGACAAGGAGTATGTTTGTGTGGGACAATGTGGGACACCCTCTCAACAGCACCCCGGAAAAAAAATCTCTATTTCTATTCTTTTTCATTTGGTTTATTCAACAGCATCCAATAAACAATGAGAGAAAGCGAAGTCAAAATGCAGTAACAATTTAGTATCTTGATAAAGAAAAGTAAACTAAGGCTAACCAAGGCAGCAGGCATTATTCACTTCAAGTGTTTAGAAATGCATCTTCCTAATTCAACTAGTGTATTACTTGTAAAAGTAGGTACAACATAAATGTATAGATACAATAAAAACATAAATACAAATCAAAACTGGCCAGTCGGGAACAAAAACATAATAATACATAAAATAAAATAGCTTTCAGTTTTGTCCATCACAGCAACAACAGGTGGGCCCCCCCACAGTGTGTGGGCTATTTTGTCACCTAGAACCACTGGTGTCTTTAACTCTTGTCAAACAACTCTCCACAGAGGCAGGGGCAAGCACATCTGTTATTATGGACGCTGCTTTTGTACTACCACATGACATTTTCTTTGCTTTTATCAGATTCTGGAAAAATGGTCGGCGCTACCTTGTTACCACAGTCCTTTGACCGGTATGATTGGGAGTGTTGCACTGTATGGTAAACACTGGTTATTTCTGCTGCTGTTACCTTGTCTGAGTGGCCATCATTTTTTGGTTTGAGTAGGAATGTCTCCATAGAGTGGGATGTCTCTTTTTGAGCGACACGTTTCTTGTGAGAATCGCATTCTCTGTGTCTTTTGACGTCGTATTCACCGCCATGTGAAATTGAAAAATTACTCTTGCAAAGATTGCAAAAAAATCTGCACTGGCTTCACCCACGGGTAAGTGTCTTCCCAGTCTTTGTTGTATGTGCATCTTCTTTTCTTCTTAGCTGTAGTTTCAGTTTCCTCCATTTTCCATAACCTGCTGCGTCGCCTGCGTTATTGGCTGACTTTCGTTGTTGTTGTTTGGCGGAGCGAGATGGCTCTTCCAAACTCTCTGCTGTAGTCTGACCACCAGAAGACTATTGATGTGTGTAGTGAGTTACGTAGAAATATACTGTATAATAGTAACGTTATTGAAGATGATGCCATATTTATTGAAGATTTTTACATTATAAATCTTCCCCAAAATTATTCAAAAGCACATTCTTTCAAAATCTCTGCTGTAGTCTGACCAACAGGAGACTATTGATGTGTGTAGTGAGTTTGGTAGTAATACTTTATAATAGTGAAGTGATTGAATATTATTGTATTCTCTTTTTTCGTTGTTGCACTTTGCAGACGGTCCCTGAGCACTCGTTTCTTCTCCGGCTGCG